GTGAATGCTTAATGCTGACAAACAGCTGAAATTAGCTAAAACAAAACATGCTGAATTGTAGCTGAAATGAAGGAACAAGCCTAAATTAGCAGAATAAAGCAGAAAGAACACATATTTGCAGAATTAGGTTTAAACAAGCAGAAATGAGCACAGAAATTATGAAATTAGCTAAAAAATAAAGCTAAAATTAGCAACAAAACAGCTGAAAAGCAGCTGCAAATGCAGAAAGAAACGTAAACTGCCAGAAGGAAGTGGAAAGAACTGAAATGAGCTAAAAATGTGGAATTAGCTGAACATGCTGAAATAGCACAAAACAGTTAAATAGTAGCTGAAATAACAAGAAAGTAGCTGAAATAACAGAAACTAGCAGAAAAAAAATCTGAAAGGAGCATAACAAGCTGAAAGTAATAGAAAAAAGTTAATTAGGCTGAAAGTAGCAAAGTTACTACAAACATTTTGAATGTATCTGAAAACAGCTGAAATTAGCTGAAAATGCTAGCTAATGCACGAGCAGAAAGAAACTTAAATTACCAGCAGGAAGTGGAAAGAGTACAGTTTTGCTGAATTAAACTGAAAAAATGTTGAAATGAGGGCAAAAATTTTGGAATTAGCTGAAAAAGCTAAAATTAGCATAAAACAGCTAAATAGTAGCTGAAATAGCAGAAAAAGCTGAAACTTGCAGAAATAAGCTGAAAGGAGCATAACAAGCTGAAATTATTTGAAAAAAGTTAGAAGAAGCACAAAAATGTAGCTAGCAGAAAGAATCTGAAGGAGCACAAAACAGCTGAACAAACAGCTGAAAGTAGCTGAAAAAAGTTAAATTTACAGAAAGAAGCTGAAGCAGAACAAAATGTGAAGGAGCAGTAAAAGGTTGTAAACAGATGTGAAGGATGTAAAATGAGCTCAATTCATTTTCTATGAGACAAAATGTCAGAAAAGGCTAAACATTTCAAAAAGCTAAAGTTGCACCAAAACCAAAAGTCAGAGCAGGATTGTCCTGAAAGAGCCGAATGTTTTGATTCATGACTTGTTGAAACAGCTGAAAACTGCGGGACGAGAAAGACGCAGGAAAACGTACGGAAGAAAACTGGATCACACCAGAGTGAGTTCTTGTTCAGCAAACGTTCAGACAAATACAGCCGTCGGATAAATGTAAATAATTATTCAAATTGGATAAAAAAGGTAAATAAAAATCATTTAGTTTTAATTCTCGAGTATAAATACGTTGATGGTCTGATAAAAGTACAGTCAGGATTTGTGTCATTAACACAGTTTGTGTTTAAAAGTTATTTTTCCTGGAAGGAAGTGGGTTGTTTTTATAAAACCAGGTTCTTCGTTTAGATGTTTCTGTTTCCATTTGTTTCACTTTATTCCACATTCTGTCCGTTTTAAACGATTTGTCTCGAACTGACGCGGAGGAGCAGCAGTTCTCCTCGCTCTCTCCTGGAGAACTGAACCTAGAGTCCCTGCAGAGAGAACTCGTTTAAACCTCCTGGGTCCAGGATCTGGTTCTTTCAGTCTCCGTAGAGGGTAGGGACCAGACCCGAGTCCTTTCCCGCCTCTGGCTAAACCCATAAAGGTTCTGAAGAGGATCGGTGACCACCGGCCGGTGCAGCTCGGTGCATCCCGACTGAAAACGTTTGGTTGTCAGAGTTCTTCACGTTAACGGGCACAACTTTTCATTTTTCAGGAAGTTGTGAAAGACGTTTAACGTTTTGACCAAACCAGAGCGCTTCCGGTGGTTTTCCTGCCGGGGAGCCGGTCCCTCCGGTTGTTTCTGCCGAGAACTCGTTGTCAGACGTGGAATCGTTTCCCGACACGGCGAACGTGTTTGGATCCGACGTGGAGCGGACAGCTCTGATACGTTTCACCGTTTCCTCCCGACTTCCTCCGGAGGTTTCTGCTCGGCTCTGACCTTTAGCGTCGGGAGGCCTTTTTCCTGCGGCTGTCGGCGTTTGTATCTGTTGATCTGTTTGGATCCGAGCACGGTGTCGAACAGGGGAGAACAAATCACCCGCTGTACTTCTCATTAGCAGCACTTTTGTGTCAGCGCTGAGAGATCAGCTGTCAGCGCCTCCAGCTTCACCTTTCAGACAATAATTACAGCGTTTAACGGCCGGGCCAGGACCTTCAGCTGCTTCGGCTACACACCAAACATCATGAAAGTCCTCACAAAGGACAAAGTCAGCGTGGAAAAGGTGTTTTTTTGTTGTTGTGTTTGTTTTTCCTCCAAATTTAAGCAGAACTCAAACCCAGTCGAGCTGCTGCGGCTGATTTAAACCAAACGTTGTTTCCTGCGAACGATTTCTGCTGAGAAGGTTTCATCGCTGAACTGTTAATGCGAGCTGAACTGGGACAGCTGACACTTGCTGAAAGCAGGAAAAATAAAAGCAGAAAGCAGCTGAAATGTGTAGAAAAGGCTGAACTAGTCAGAGAGAGGCTGAACAGATTACAAAATACTGCAATTATCAATAAAGTAGCTAAAATGCTAATAAAACACTCCCCATGACAGGAGCATTTAAAGCTTAAATTAAAGAAGCTAAAAAAAAATAAATGCTGAAATTAGCAGGAAGAAGCTGAAACAGCCGAAGCAGAAGAAAAGCTGAAATGATCAGTAAAATGTTAAACAGCTAAAGGGTTTGGAGGACGTAAAGAGAGCTCCATTCATTGTCGGTGAGGACAACATGGCCGACGGAGCTACATATGAAGAAAAGTAAAACCTGACACCAGAAGTCGTCTAAAGTGGGCCACTCTGAGGCATGCAGGGCTGAAAACGAGTCCCACTCCGGCTCTCACTCGTTTTACTGCGTTTTACTGCATTGCACTGTGTTTTAGTGTTTTACTGTGTTTTACTGCATTGTACTGAGTTTTACTGTTTTACTGAGTTTTACTGCATTGTACTGTGTGTTACTGCATTTTACTGTTTTACTGTTTTTATGTGTTTTACTACATTGTACTGTGTGTTACTGTTTTACTGCATTTTACTGCATTGTACTGTGTTTTAGTGTTTTACTGTGTTTTACTGCATTATACTGTGTTTTAGTGTTTTACTGCATTTTACTGTTTTACTGCATTGTACAGTGTTTTAGTGTTTTACTGCATTGTACTGTGTTTTAGTGTTTTACTGCATTTTACTGTTTTACTGTGTTTTACTGCATTGTACTGTGTTTTAGTGTTTTACTGCATTTTACTGTTTTACTGCATTTTACTGTTTTACTGCATTGTACTTTGTCTTAGTGTTTTACTGCATTGTACTGTGTTTTAGTGTTTTACTGCATTGTACTGTGTGTTACTGCATTTTACTGTTTTACTGCATTTTACTGTTTTACTGTGTTTTACTGAATTTCACCGTTTTACTGCATTGTACTGTGTGTTACTTCGTTTTACTGCGTGAAAGCAAAGAATCCATAACAAAATTCAATCCTTCACAAGAAATTGAATAAATACTAAGTAAGGTTCTGCATTTTTAGAACAAAAGTAACAAACACAATACCATGTTATATAATAATGTGTTATATTTACAAGCTACATGCACTAAATATCTGTGATGGACTGGAGACCTGTCCAGGTGTCCCCTGGAGATAGACACCAGTGACCCCCGCAACCTGAACAGTAAGAAGCAGGTGAAGGTGATGGATGATGGATGGATGGATGATGGATGGATGTTGGACTAATTATGAAATTGCTTAAAAAAACTACTTAATTGATTTTGTTATGTAAAAACATTATTTGTAATTCTGAATATTTTCCAACCTGTAAGGCTTGGCTGTTTAGTTTTTGTAGTAATTTAACAAGAAAAATGTATTTTATTTAACCTCCTCGTGCTCTTAGGTTACCGTACGGTAAAACTGATCTCAGTGTCATACATTTATTCTCTTCCAGTATCTCTTCCTGTCAGCAGTTCTCTTTAATTCAGTTTTAATCTAAATCAGGCTCAAATATTTATTGAACTAAAAAACGTCAGTTGAAACATAAAAAAGTTTGTTTCTTTAAAAGCTCGTCTCTCATTTCCTGTCAGGTTTCCTTCTGTTGGAGGCAACAGCAACTTGTTTTGTATGGAGATACATTAGCCTCAAAAGTGGTCACAGAAGCCACAACTAGATTTGTAACGCGTACCACAAGATTAATAAATTCATTAACCGAGTTCACATTCCAAATTGCACATGTAGGGAGCACATTGTCAAACATATGTTCAAATCACCTGCTGCGGCCGGATCGGCTTGCCTGTGAATGTGACTTTTGAGATTTTCTTACCACTTCAGTATCACAAAGGCAATGCTGCGTTCAAGACAGGTGAAAAGCTGGGACATCCGAGTGTTTCCAGATTTACTGAGTTATTAAAAATATATTTTTCACTTGTCTCAGCCGCCCTTAACCTTTTTATCTTGGTAGGCATTTGTAAAACTTGTGGATCTTATTGTACGCATACACATTTTGTACGATTGCGTGACTACTTTTGAGACTAATTTATCTCCATAGATTCGTCAGGCAGCTCAAAGAGATTCTGACTAAAACAAGAGAAAATGTTACAAAATAAAAGTCTGACACGAGATTAATTAGCATCAGATTTATTGTAGAAAACACCCGTTGGCACTTTTCTCTTGTTGAAAACCATAAAAACGAAACATACGATGTTAAAATCTTCACGAGGGGAAATAAATCCACATTTAATGTCAACTTTACAAAGCAGATAAAACCTTAACAGCTGAAGTATTTAACAGAAAACATTTACAGCGGGACACCAACTCCACAAACACTTTCGTCTTTATCAAACGTGACATGATGTAAAATATACGTAAACTCAGTTTTAATGACAAATTTATAAAAATCAAAAAGCGCTGGAAAGGCTTTGACACTTGCTGATGAAATGTTTGCATAAAAACAGCAACGTGTAAAATTCTGATATGTTCAGATGAACCCTCCTGCTGCCCCGGGGTCAAACCATCGGCGCTTGTTTTGACCCCGGGGCAGCAGGGGGGTCGAATGCGTCACGTTTGGAAGCGTGGTGAACAGTTTGGCACCGAGAGCTACATCTGAGTGGAAGACTTACGACTTCAGTTTCACATTTTATGCTTTAATCACTAAAATATAAAGTTTGTTTTGAGTAAAACTTGATTTAAATAAATATGCCTGTACGCTAACGGTTAGCATAAACCACAGTGAACCTGATGAAAACAGAAGTCTGCAGGTTTGGATTTGCATTTGTGATGCAGGTTAGACAAGTTTGTGCATTTAATGTTTTCCTGCAAATAAAAACCTACAAAAATTAAACCTTTGCATCTTCTGTGGCCTTTTCTGGACACGTGACTTCGTCAGAATTTTTTTTTTTTTTTAAGCTAAATTGTTTTTTTCTTGTTAAATTTGTCTCGTAAACCAACATGCAAATGTATTTTACCTCTTAATTTAATTAGTTTATTTACTTTACGTTTGCGTACAGCAGAGACTGATCAGAAGCTTGTTAGCTTAGCTAGCTAGTCCATCTTTTTTTGTGTTAGCATGCTTTAGCTAGTTCAGAGTTAGCACATCGACGTGCACATGTGCCCAATAATATTTGGATATTCCTCTGGTAATTAATAATACTTATTAAAATTAGTTTAAAACTCGTGTTGGCACGGCAGCGTTAGCGACAGGCTCATGGTTAGCACGTGCCGTTTATGTTAGCTTGTGTTTATGGCTGAGCATTAAAAGTTTGTTCGGCTTAAATAAACTGAAAAAAGTGTTTATTTAACGTGACAAACTGAATATGGCGAGTTTACTGCATCTATAAAAACAACTGAGCAGTCCTCCATGCTACCGTTAGCTTGTTAAGATGCTACAGGAAGTAAAACGTGAGTTTGGCACAGTTTAAAATGGCCGCCCGGCGTTTCAGTTTAGTTGTCTGTCGCTCCACCGGGCCGTCACCAGCCCTCCACCTCCACCACGAAGGGCTCTTTAACGGGAATCCTGCCGCTGTTGACGATGACGCACTCCGTGTGCGGCAGGTTCCTGTCGTCCGTGTCCTGGAGCTCGATGGTGTGAACCACAGACTGTCGACAGACGCACAACGACACAATTTACAAAACTCGTTAAAAAACTACAACTATGGGGGTTTGCAATAGATAACAATAAAATGCGTTTGTCTTTTTAAGCATAAATAATAAAATATTTTAATGTAAGTTTGGTTTAAATGGTGCCGGTTCAATAAAACTAAGACGTCTTGTTTATGACTAAACGTTTTAGGACCAGATAAACAAAAATAAATGGTCGTCATTTTGACAGTAAAGACACAAAGTTGAAATTAAAGTTAAAATATTTCCAGTAAAACGTCGACGTTTGACACCAGACTGGAGGAAGTGAGGCCCGCTGAGCTCCTGGACCCGACTGGTTGGTTCTGTGGCACCTGAGGGTTCTGGGTCAACCTTGACCGGGTTTACCTCCAGAACAACGCTCAGCCTTTCACAATAAGAGTCTCTAACACAGACACTTTTATTCTTTTAAAAACAGCTGCAGCAAACTTCAACTCGAAACTTAAAGTGTTGTTTTGTGGTTAACCCAGTCAAAGTTCTCCAGAACCCTCAGACACAACGAAAACAGAACAAACCCAGTTGGGTCCAACGGGTTCAGTTCCTCCGGTTTGGTCCTAAAAGACGACATTGATCAACTTTATGACAATATTTTAATCTTAACGTTGTGATTTTTGTTGTCGTACAGAAACACGTTTGATGCCACAAACTAAAACCAGATATAAATAAATATCAGCAGAGCGGATTTAAACCGTAGTTGCTGTTTTATTAACGTGTAAACTTTATTTTAGGTGCTAGTTAATCCTTGTCTTTAATCACGGCAAAGAAAAAAAAAAACAAATCCGTGAACACTGTTGGGTCAGGTCGTCTGGACGGTTTCTTTATTTGCTGAGACGTTTCATCCTTCATCCGTCCTCACCAGCATCCTTCATCCAAAGGACTTCTTCAGACTTTGCTGTTCTGAACCACTTTGGCATGACTGAGGAGTTGACGGGGGACAGGGCGGGCCTCGGAGGCCATCTTATCACCAGCAAACTGTTTTTTTTCCCACTATGGGAGTGAGCTGTTAGTGGGAATCAGTTTGCGGCTCCTCAGATTGAAGAAGTCCTTTGGATGAAGGAGAAAATGTCTCAGCAAATAAAGAAACCATACATGATCTGACTGAACATTGTTGGATTTTAACATTAGTGACTCAAATCCTTGGCTTAGTTTCTGAAAATTAGATTTAGTTATGAAGATCAGCATCTCTTCCTCTAACTGGTCACTTCCTGTGTGGGCGGAGCCTCTGAGACGATTCAGGAAGTCAGTTCTTCTGTGGCAGGAAGTCTAATCCCAGAGGAGAACTGAAGGTTCAGATGGTTTTCAAAGGAACCTCTGTCGCTGTGGTCCTGTCTGACCCAGGTGGACCTCAGCTGGTTCTGTGTGCTGGTCTTTGGGTTTGTTGGACTTCATCTGGAGGGCTTTTATGACGCTCAGGTCTGGTTTCATTTGTGTCGCTGTGCAGAGACCTGCTGGTCCCTCTCAGTCCTGGTCCCTCTTAGTCCTGGTCACACTCAGTCCTGGTCCCTCTCAGTCCTGGTTCCTCTCAGTCCTGGTCCCTCTTAGTTCTGGTCCGTCTTAGTTCTGGTCCATCTTAGTCCTGGTCCATCTTAGTCCTGGTCCGTCTTAGTTCTGGTCCCTCCTCTCATTACTGGTCCCTCTCAGTCCTGGTCCCTCGTAGTCCTGGTCCGTCTTAGTTCTGGTCCGTCTTAGTTCTGGTCCATCTTAGTCCTGGTCCGTCTTAGTTCTGGTCCGTCTTAGTTCTGGTCCCTCTCAGTCCTGGTCCCTGCATCAGTCCCAGAACCACTGAGGACACGTTTAGTTTCCTAACAGGCACAAAGTCTGAGGCACCACTCACCATCCCATCCAGAACTTTACCAAAGACCACGTGCTTCCCGTCCAGCCAGGGCGCCTTGGTGGCCAGGATGAAGAACTGAGACCCGTTGGTGTCCGGACCCGCGTTGGCCATGCTCACCTGGTACCAGAACACACACCGGTCCACAGGTCACACAACGAGACGTCCCTTCACTGAAACTGGGAACTTCCTGTTGGAGTCGTGTGTGCGCACGTGCGTGTGTGCGTGTCTGGGTGTGAGTGTGTGCATGTGTACGTGCGCTCACCCAGCCGGCTCCGAGGTGCTTCAATCTGAAGTTCTCGTCGGTGAACGTCGTCCCGTAGATGCTGTGACCTGAACCGGAAATAAAAACTCTTAAAAGCGCTTAGTTGAAGCAGATCGATTTTATATTATTGATTTTATATGATTGATTTTATATTATTGATTTGATATTATTGATTTGATATGATTGATTTTATATGATTGATTTGATATGATTGATTTTATATATCTGATGCTTCGTTCCACTTCAAACCAGCATTTCTTATTTAAAACCAGTAAGCGGGGGCTGTGGGCTCCTCTCGGACCTCCGGTTCCGTCTCCGGCGGTGAAGTCTCCTCCCTGGATCAGGAAGTCTTTGATGACTCGGTGGAACTTGGTCCCCTTGTAGCCGTAACCTTCCTGCAGACACACGGAGCGCTCATGACAACAGGACGTGACGTCTGAATCAGACGCCCGATCGGTTTTTAAATATTCCTCGTGTGAATTCCAGGAGATCAAAGGAAACGAGTCGTCTGAAAACGACAAGAAGTAAGAAGTTCTTTACCTCACCTCTCCAGCTGCCAGAGACACAAAGTTCTTGACGGTCATGGGGACGACGTCTCCGAAAAGCCCGATGACGACCCGGCCCACCTCGTGACCCCCCACCGTGATGTCAAAAAACACCTGGACACAGGTAGGACACGCCTCCTGAACACCTGCAAACTCCATATTTTATATTAGAGTTAAATCTGGTGTCAGATCTTTAAAAACATTTTGAACCCAAGTGAACTCAGACGGTTAGACGTTAGCCTGATCACCCTGAGACGCCCTGTCTGCTGCAGGTAAGACACTGACCACAGCGCTGCACACAACCCCAGGACTCGCAGCTTCTCTCAGGTCAGGAGATGTTTCTCACATCCTCCTCTGTTAGCAAAACATCCCAGCTGGATGGGTTTTAGACCAGCAGCACCCAGTCGGTTTTACTCAGGTAAACCGTGGTGTGGTAGTAGCTGAGAGTCGTCTCAGTCTGAGGGCTGACTGCCGGTCAAAGTGGCGGGCAACAAGCATTCCTTCAGAGGATGTTGGTTTGTTGCTCAGGTCGCCCTGAAGCTCAGAAGAAACTGAGTTTATCGAGGATTTTCTGCAGAATAAAAATTATTTGTTGTTTAACTTTTAATTTTTCAGGTCAGGCCAGAAAAGAGGAAGAAAACTAAATAAAAAAATATAAAACTGGAGCTTCTTTTTTGAGTTATTCCAATAAAAGCAGCATTTTTCACTGAAGGCAAATAAACATGGAGCGTAACAGGATTTCAAAATAAAAGCTGACGTTTTCATTTATCTGCATTATTGTTTAAAAATATATATTTTAATGTTTTTCTGGAATAAATCAGAAAACACGCAGCGCGTCCGCAACGACACGTGTACCGCTGCGCGCGCGTGCGTGCGCGGGCTGCCCCACATGTTCTGGAAGAATCTGCTAACATGCTCACCTTAAATTCACCTGCATAAACGCGTGCGTATTCATGCATGCGCGCGCGCATCTCGGATTCCCGCGGATGAAACGCGGACGTCTGCTCCGTCACCCACCTTCTCGGTGACCTTCGGTCCTTTCCGTGAAAACACGCCGGAAACGGGCTGCAGGCGGGCGGCAGAGAGGAGCAGCAGGGCCGGGAGGACCGTCCGGACCTCCATCTTCACCTCCGGAGGGAGAGAGCAGCGGCGGGCCCGGCTGGAAGCACCCGAGCTGCGGGGAAACGACGAGCCGCAGCCGGGAGGATGGAGCTCCAAACTCTGTGACGTCACCTAACCACGCCTCTTTATGGGCTGGGGCTTAACTAAAGCCCCGCCCACTGGGGGAGGAGACCAGAACAGAAGCAAACTGAATGGAAAGCAAACAGAAAATGTGAAAATAGTTTTATTATGTTTAAAATAGTAGTTTGATTTTATTATATTGATTTTTTCTTTTAAATATTTTACCGTTTTACATTTTTTATTTTAGTCTGTTGTGTAGGTACGTGGTGGTATTCTGGAGAGTCGGTTAAAAACAGGCTAACTGACCAGGTGAGCTGAACTTTAGTGTCAGGTAAAAATAAACTACATAAAGTTTTGAGGATTTTGATTCAGTTCGTCTCTGATTTCTGTTGTCGGGCAGAAGAGCTGAGACCACAGAGGATGTGGTGTTCAGTAACCAATAATGAAATAATAAGATGTTCTGTAACTAATGAAATAATAAGATGTTCAGTAACTAATGAAATAATATGATGTTCAGTAACTAATAATGAAATGTGATGTTCAGTAACTAATAATGAAATAATAAGATGTTCTGTAACTAA